GCCGCCGCCGCCACCGACCCGCCCCATCCCGCCCCGAGTTCGCCTGACAGACGGTCGCCGCAGCCTACCGCAAGCGCTCAGGGAGCCGTAGCGGGTGCCGATTGGTCAGGCCCGCCCCCGCCGCCATCCCGCCCGCCCAGTTCGCCTGACAGACAGTCTCCACGGCCTACTGCGAGCGCGCAAGTGCCGCAGCGGGCGCTGATTGGCCGGCGCTGCTACGAAGGGCTTATTTAAGCTGTCTCCCGGGGGGCTTTTTCCGAGCAGAGCGTTCTGTGGCGCTCGGGAGATTGTCCGCCTTTCTTGGGCTATTCCGCTGGTCGCACACGAGACAGCGGGGAACCCCCACCCCGCAGCCAAGTCCCTCGCGCCTCCTTGCCTCCCGCCCCTTGTCTCAGGACTCCCGCTGCCGACCCTGTCCTCTCGGTCCTCAGAGAGGCGGCGGTACAGCCGGGACACGAGGGAAGCAAGCGCTGCAGGAAAGTGGGGTTTGCTGCCTGGCACCGGCTGCCCTGTCCAGCGTCCATCAGGGTCAGCCCTAGGCCCCCAACGGAAGCCTGCGCGGGGTCTGGCCGGACGGCCGGACCGGGCTCTGTGGGATGGGTGACCTGGTCAGCACGGCAGGCCTTTCCCGGGGCCTGGCACACAGTAGTGCTTCGTTCGGGTTACTTGTATGAGAAAAAATACAAAAAGTAACCCACGCACACTTAAAGAGTTGTTGTTGTTAGGTGCCTTGTTCTGACTAACAGCGACTCTACGTACAACAGAAGGAGACACTGCCCGTGCTGTGCCATCCTCGTCATCGTTGGTATGTTTGAGCCCATTGTTGCAGCCGCTGTGTCAATCCATCTCGACAAGGGTCTTCCCTTTTTCGCTGACCCTCTACCTTACCAAGCATGATGTCCTTCTCCAGGGACTGGTCCTTCCTGATAACATGTCCAAGGTACATGAGATGAAGCCTTGCCTATTCGCTTCCAAGGAGCACTCTAGCTGTGTTTCTTCCAAGACAGATTTGTTCATTCTTCTGACAGTCCATGATATATCAGTATTCTTCACCAGCACCATAATTCAAATGCATCAACTCTTCTTTGGTTTTCCTTATTCATTTTCCAGCTTTCATATGCATATGAGACAATTGAAAATACCATGCCTTGGGTCAGGTGCACCTTAGTCCTCAAAGTGACATCTTTGCTTTTTAACACTTCAAAAAGGTCTTTTGCAGCAGATTTGCCCAATGCAGTATGCCGTTTGATTTCTTGACCGTTGTTTCCATGGGTGTTGATTGTGGATCCAAGTAAAATGAAATCCTTGACAATGTCAAGCTCTTGTCCATTTGTGTTGCTTATTGGTCCAGTTATGAATTATGCACTTTAAAATGGGTAAATGGTGAGTTTTGTGTTATGTGAATTTTACTAGAATTTTCAAAACAAACCCTCAACGTATGGCCTCCCAATTCATGGAAATGTGGAACACACAAACAGAAACATCTAGAAACAAGGCTGTGGTCCTGGCCAGAAAAAAGAAGCGTCTTAGTTATCTAGTGCTGCTGTGACAGAAATACCACAAGTGGATGGCTTTAACAAACAGAAGTTTATTCTTTCACAGTCTAGGAGGCTAGAAGTCCGAATTCAGGGCACCAGCTCCAGGGGAAGATCTCTCTCTCTGTTGTCTCTGGAGGAAGGTCTTTGTCACCAATCTTCCTCTGGACTAGGAGCTTCTCAGCGCAGGGACCTCAAGTCCAAAGGAGGACGCTCTTCTCCTAGTACTACTTTCTTGGTGGTATGAAGTCCCCCCCCACCCCCACCCATCTCTCTGCTCTGTTCTCTTTTATATCTGGAAAGAGATTGGCTTAAGACACAATCCAATCTTGTAGATTGTGTCCTGCCTCATTAACATAACTGCCACTAATCCCATCTCATTAACATCATAGAGATAGATTTACAACACATAGGAAAATCACATCAGATGGCAAAATGGTAGATAATCACACAATACTTGAAATCATGGCCTAGCCAAGTTGACGGATATCTTAGGGGGACACAATTCAATCCAGGATGGGGGACCAGGCTGAGGGGGCTGCGTGTGTAGATGCCATCAGCACTACAGAGCAATGTGGCAGGAAGAGGCCTCTGTGTCTATACCCGCTGAAAAATGACAGTGGAATATCACTAATTGGACACAGGTGACGGCCCAGGCCTTGCTGGAACATTTGACAGACGGCGTCTAGTTTGATACAAGCCTTCGTGACATGGGAACACTTCCCCCATTTTGCAGAAGAGAAGGCTTCAGAGAGGTCCATGTGGTGCGTTTGGAACCTGTACCCCAGGAGGAGCAGCTGAAATCATGGGAATTGTTCTCGGATGGGCACTAGTGGTGCAACGGTTAAGTGATCAGCTGCTAATTGAAAGGTTGGCAGTTCAAACCCACCGAGTAGCTCCGCAGGAGAAAAGACCGGGTGATCTGCTTCCACAAAGAATACAGCCTAGGAAACCCTGTGGGGCAGTTGTGCTCTGACACGGGGTCGCTGTGAGCTGGATGGGACTCGACAGCACCCAACAACAACATACCTGATAGACTAAGCCAGAAAACAGGGCTGACATGGGAAGCTATGTGACCTCGTTAGAAGAGTCTGCGCGTGGAAGTGCTAAGGACACGCTGCGTAAATCATTACTTGGAGCTGGAATTCCCCTATCGACACCACATTCCTGGAATCCAACAGCAGGACCTTCCAGTCTCTGACAGACCCAGGCATCCCACTCACTCCATCATCACTTCATCTGAGGCCCAGTGCCCTGCGTGGGGACATCCCAAGTCCCACTTGCAGATTCAGTGTGTTTCATTCAAGCCCAGGAACGAGCGAGCTCTCAGAAGTAAGGGGCTTTCTCCTCCTCGTGGCAGCACCTGGAAGTCTGAAGCTTCAAGCGGCCCATTAACCGCCGGCAGCCGAGCCGGAGTCGCCCTTGTGACCAGGAGAAAAGAGAGATCAGCCTGCAGCCGGCCCTCCCTCTGCCCTCCCAGGGAACTGCCCCAAGGTCAGCCTGCAGCCGGCCCTCCCCATGCCCTCCCAGGGAACTGCCCCGAAGTCAGCCAGCCTGGCTAGGGCAGCCAGCGCCCAGGATGTGTGACAGTTTACAAGGGTTGGACTCAGAGCTACCTCAGCTCCGCCCCACGTCCAGAAATGGCTTCCGGGGCAAAGGTCTTACCAACTTGGAAAGCACTGCCTGCAGGGCCCACGGGGAACCATCGACGCCAGTCTCCAAGTCCTTGCCAGTGCTTCTGTCAGCGTGAAAATGCCTCCCACGGTTTACTCTGGACGTCCCCGTCTGCGCGCACACATACCCACGCACGCACGCACACTCTTTTTCTTGCTGGATTCTCGTGACAGGCCTGGGGGTGAGAGTTGAGAACACTGGAGCGGAGTGGCTTGGCGGCTGCCCACTCCGAGACCCTTCTTTCCATGGCTTACCCCAAAACCCCCAAGCTGTCCCCAGTAATTGGGGCCGATGGCCTGGTGCCTGACCACTGGTGGGGGACTGGCGGGTTTCAGTGACGGTGTGGCTGTGGGGTGAGGCTCTCGGGTTTGGGATCCAGGAGTATTTCCCAGGGTAGAAAGGGGCTGTGTGCCTGGCAGAGGTGATGTCTGGGGGTTTTGGGTCTTTCCTGGGGGAAGGGTCACTTGGAGGGGCAGACAGGCCTCAGCCTCTCTCAAATCTCCAGGTGCTGGGAGCTGAGGAAGGAGTATGAGGAGCCGGAGGAAATGTGGGTAAAAGACCCTGGTTATGGGGGTGGGGGGTGAAAACCCTTGAAAGCGCCCTGCAGGGACAGAGCTGGCTTTAGACCCTGGCCTCAGGCCAGTGAAAACATCCCTGTCGCTTCTCCTGCCTCCCTCCCAGACCACAGCCTCAGAGGCTCAGGAAAAACCTCAGGGCTCCAGGATGACCTTGGGGGCACAAGAATGACCTCAGGGGGTCAGGGACAACCTGGGGTTCAGGGATGGCCTCAGGGGTCAGGGGTACCAGACTGGTGGTAGGGGTGGAGAAAAGAGAGGAGGGGAATAGAGCTGGCAGCAGCCACTGGCCGGGAGGGGAGAGGCCGCTCGCGGAACAAAGTTGGGCGCTCGGTGGACAGTGGAGGGGCCTTGAGTCCACTGGCCAAGGGTGACCGGAAGTCTTGAAGTCATCAGGGATTTTATCCGGGGACAGGGGAAGAACCAGTTACACCAAAGGGATTGGCCCAGAGCCAAACGAGGCTGCCTTCTGCCCGCACCCACCCACCCCTGCCGGTGCATGTCCATGTGTCCTGACACCGCTTTGATGAGTCTGGTGGGGGGACTCCCCCCAAGGAGGATTCCTCTGTACCTGTGACCCCAGGTCCATTGCCTGGACACAGCCAGCACCCCCCAGGTCGGCTGCCCAGCACAGCCCCCAGCCCCAACAGGTAAGCCAGCTGATGTCTCTGCTGTGACGTCCCAGGGCCCCAGCTGCCACCCACAAGTCTGTCTGTCCTCCGAGCCCTGCCCCATCTTCCCCAAGCACACCCCTCCTCTCGAAGACAGGCGTCCCCCTGTGCCCCCTCAACACCCACCCCCCGCACTGTTGACGGTGGTCAGAGGCCCAAGTGGGGTGGCCCATCATGGCTGGTACCCCCTCACCCCACCTGCCCCCTGGGGGTGGCTAGGACATTACTGGTTAATTTAAAAGGGTCCCTCCAGTAAAGCAAGATCAGCCAGACACCGCAGCAGCCAGGGAAGCACGGAAGAGACTCCCAAATGACCCTCTGCCCCAGCGCCTGCACGACCTGTAGACGGTGGGTGTGGGAGCTGGGCTGCCCCTCCAGTCCTGCTCCCCAGCCCCGCAGCGCCTCCTGGGAGACCAGGTGCCTGGCCGATCTCCTCATCATTCCCCAGCCGGCGCCAGCGACGTCACCTCAAGAGGGCGCCCTGCCCCCCCCAACCCCGGCCGGAGAGGGTGACTCATCCTGGTGAGCAGGCCCCGGGGATTCCCAGGGCTCCTTCCTGCCGAAAAGAAACCGAAACTGGTCGTGCCAGGCAGCCCGGCAGGGAAGCACCTGGGGCCGCCCCTGAGCTCAGCCGGAGAGAGGACCAGGAAGCGCACAGCCCCCATCCTGGCAGTCAGTCGGCAGGGACGGTGGGACACCTGGGGGCATTGGCCCTGGCCCGGGGTGTCCCTGCTCCCGACACCATGGAGCCAGCACCGCTGAGAGACAGTGCACGCAGTCCCCTTGCTCGTGTCCATCTGTCTGCACCTAGCCTGTGCACCAGAGTGTCCGAGCCCACCCTGCAGACACTCCTGAACCCTGGGGGCACCTCCACTCCGAAGGTTCAGAGGGTCTCTCAAAGGCCTTCCCCTCTTATCCTATGCTCCCTGTGGCCTGGGGACACCAGCGGCCGGCCTGGACCCTGGATGGGGCCACCCTCGGGCGCAGGCAGCCCTAGGGAGTCAGACTCCTGCAGGACCCACCTCCCAGCGGTCACAATACCTGCTGCCCACCAAGGCAGGCACTGGCCTGCTCTCCCTTTTCTGTAAGACTTTGAAGGTCTCCTGCTGCTTCTGAAGGCAGCTGGTTTCCGTCTTGCTCGGCAGCACCTGACAGCATTTCCAGAAAGGCAGCAGCCAGCTCGGGGCCAGAAACCCCCAGCCAGGAGGGACTTTTCCGGGGAGGGAGGCGGCAGGCCATGGCCAGGCCACTGGGCCCCACCTCCCAGCTGCTCGCCCCCACCCCCCACGCACTGGTCACCCTCGTAGGTAGCCTTGACTGAGGAGAAAAGACCTGGGATGGTAGTCCCGTGGTTAAGGGCCAGGAGGCTGTGTCCGCTTCCTGATGCAGACCCTCCATGGGACAGCCGCAGCTGGTGGGCTTGTTCAGCTTTGTCCTTCAAGTCGGCGTCACAGAACCGCTGGGGGGACAGGGGAGCCCCCACCCGAACAGTCAGTCCAGGGCCCCCAAAAAACAGGAACCCAAGTCGTAAAACAACCAAAGCCACAGCGCCCCCATATGTGTCGGAGTAGAACTGTGCTCCACAGGATTTTCAGGGGCTGATTTTTCACAGGTAGATGGACAGACAGGCCTTTCTTCCGAGGTGCCTCCAGGTGGGCTTAACCACCAACCTTTAGCATTAGCCATGTCAGTGGACGGCCTGCCGGTCAGCAGTGTTTGCAGAAGCAAAGGTGGGAAGAGGAACGGATTTTCATATGCGTTTTCTGTGAGGAAACTCCAGAGGGAGAGACGAGACATTAATAAAACTGGTCCCTCTGGGGGCACATGAGTGGGGGGAGGCCGGACACCTCACTCTGCTGTCTCTCATTGTTTTAAACCATACGAGGACATCACCACTTCAAAAACGTTTGTGTTTTAACCAACAGGAGTCCCTGGGTGGTGCAAACAGTTGCTTGGCTGCTGCCCAAAAGGTTGGAGGTTCGAGTCCACCCAGAGATGCCTCGGAAGAAGGGCCTGGCATTCTACGTTCAAAAAACCAGTCATTGAAAACCCTGTGGAGCGAAGTTCTACTCAGATGCACACGGGGTCCATGAGTCGGCAACTGTGTTTTGTTTGTTTCACCTCAGAAACTCTGGGGAACACACAGAAGTACAAAAAGAAAACAAAGATCACCCAAAATTGCCCCGCCAAAAGCCAAGCTCTGCCAGCACTTGTGATCCTAACTGGTTTTCACACTAGCCTTTGTTAAGCCACCCTCAGAACACACACATCCCACGTCCCTCGGCAGGGGCCCAGGGGACAACTTCTCATTCAGATAATTCAGGGTGCCAAGCTGCCCTGCCATCCTGGCCTCCACTCGCCCACCTGGCTGGCCCCAGGGCCTTTGCACCAGCCAGTGCTCACCTAGGCCACACTCCCTGCCAGCCCAGGCTCAGGGCACAGCCAGGCACTTTACAGATCTCAATCTCAGTTAGTGGCGTCACTAGGGTTGATGTCACTCATGGTGTCACTCCCCCATGGACTTCCTCCGATACCAGAACATAGAATCCTTAGTAATGTTTAGTATCAGTTTTAATCATAGAATAATATGTGCTAAATATGGGTGTAACTTGCTTGAATGTAATATTTCTTGGATTATACGAACACTAACAACAAAATTGTTTTGTAAAATCTTTCTACATTGAATCACATTATTAGTTACAACATTATTAGTAACTGAGTGGGGAGCCTTCTCTTATTTTCTCCTTCTTTTCTTTTAATTTCTACTTCATTCTCAAAAAAGTTATTGATATAGGTCCACAAATACTAATTAGCACAATATTGTAGCTAAAACACTAGAAAATTTGTCAAAATCAGCAACTGTAAAACCACTGGCAGCAAGGAGAACAACAGAGCGTGCTTGTAGCGCGTGCAGACGAAACCAGGTGATTCAAAGCATCCTTGTAACTGGGTAACAGTGACTGACCACAGCAAATAAGAAGGTTCAAAAAAGTAAATGAGCGGAGTTTTAGCCTTGTAGGTATATTGATACATGTAAACTGAGCTTATGAAAAATGTTTTCGTTGTTATAACTAACTACAGGGATTTTTATAAAAAATAATACATTTCTGCTGAAACACTACACAAACATTTTAAAGACAGTTATTTTGGTGTCACCTTCCCCGGACAGTGTCATCTGATGCGGTTCACACCCCCCAGTACGCCGCTTGTCTCAGGATAAAGACGTATCTGTCCCGGTCGTCCTAACTCTCGTGGGTTCCCACCTCCTTGAGCCCCAGCCTGGATCCCTGCCTGGGTCACGCTGGGTGCATTTATGGTGCCCAATCTCTGGAGAAGGGCATTATGCTTGGTAGAGTAGAGGGTCAGTGCAAAAGAGGAAGCCCCTCAGCGGGATGGACTGACATAGTGGCTGCAACAACGGGCTCAACCATAGCAACCATTGTGAGTAACGGGCAGGACCGGGCTGTGTTTCCTTCTGTGTTGTACATGGGGTCGCTGTAGTCGGAACTGACTCGCCGACACCTCAACAACAGGGCCGCTTTGTGTGCGTTTCTCCTCCCCTAGATCCAGCCCTGGGGGCGCAGCTGCGCCCCCACTGTCGTTGGACGACAATGACCGACACGCGCGGACCGGCAGGGCCGCGGTCGGCAGCTGCTGTGTCCGCGTTACAGGCGGGGGCCTCCCGGTGCGGCGAGGCGAGTGCACGAGCGCCGCCTGCCGGCCGGACCCAGAACAACCGCCGGCCCCAGGAGAGGGTTGACGGCGGCTTCCCGTGCCAACACTCGGGCCCGGCGAGGGGGCACTTGGCGGGCTGGCGCTCTGAGCCCTGTGTCCAAGACGCTCCACATGGCCCTCCTCGGGTCCCCCCTCGGTCCTCTCTCTCGCTCTGTGCTGGAGTCCCCATGATGCTTCGGCCCACCTGGGACCTGCTGCCTGTCCACCGTCCTTCCCTGCTTCCCTGAACTCCAGACCCATCTTTGTCAACTCTCCCTGTCCCCCTCCACCTGCCTGGCCCCCTCATAGCCCCACACCTGGCCGAGCCCACCTCCCCTCTCGGCTGCAGCTGAAGGACATTGCTCCCCAGGCTGGCAAGCTCACTGTCCATCAACGGCCACCTTCCTCTACTGCCTGGTCCCCTCACTCACCCTCCCTGGAGACCAACTCACACCTTCTCCTTCTGCAAACCCACCTTGTCTCTACTTGGGGCACCCAGTGGCTGAGACACCTAAGTGGGCCTTTTTGAGTCCCCCCCCCCTGCCCCAGCAGAAGTATATCCAATAGTAACGATCATGGTCCGAAAAGAAACGCAACTGTGAAATAGTCTGTCATTAAACTTCTTGTATACAATCCCGCTTTTAAAAAAAAAAAAAAAAAAGTGAATACATTAAATAAACATTAAACCAGTTACTGCCAAGTTGACTCTGACTTATGACACCCCCACGTGTATCAGAGTAGAGCTGTGCCCCATAAGGTTTTCAATGGCTGATTTTTTCCGAAGCAGGCCACCAGGCTGTTTTTCCAGGGTGCCTCTGGTGAGCTTGAACCTCCAGCCTTTCGGTTAGCAACCAAGTGCATTTGTTGTTTGCACTACCCACCAAAGCAGTCGCTGTTGGGTCGATTGCGACTCCTGGAGACCCCACGTGTTACAGAGTAAAACTGCTCTCCTGGAGACCCCACGTGTTACAGAGTAAAACTGCTCTCCTGGAGACCCCACGTGTT